ATATTAAGAATGCTCATAGTCAATGTGCAAAAGTTTCGATTTATGTGTGGATTTAATGAATGTCATCTTTGTAAAGATTTTCATGAATTAAAAAAACGTCTGTTAAAGCATGAAGAGCTCTGAGTACTGGATCTACTAAGTTTATTTGCGTAACATTGCATTTTAATGTAAAAATATATCGTTTATACGACGCACAGAATCGGTTATATGTCGGTTTTTAGATTTTGCTTACGTTTATTTTACTTTTATTCTTCACACTAAACACGGGTCTTTTCTATAATCTAATGCCGATTCGGACATTAGCTTATAAAGGTGAAAAATGTAAAGGAGGAAAAAAAAGCAAAGCTCGCCCTACTGTGCTGCTTTGTGTAAACTCTGAGGGAAGTGAAAAGATCACTCCTTTAATGGTAGGAAAATCAAATAATCCCAGATGTCTGAAGAATATCAAAACGCTTCCGCTGGATTATGACGCCAATAAGAATGCGTGGATAACGACCGAAATTTTTACTAGATGGCTGAAAAAACTAGACAATGTTATGAAGAGGCAAAAACTAGAAATTTTGCTATTTATCGACCAATATCCAGCTCACTCACCGGATATTAATTTTTTGAAAAATCTAAAAGTTCACTTTTTCTTGCAAACTGAACAAATGTGCTTCAGTCATTAGATGTGACCGTGATTAGGAATCTAAAATTGCAGTATGGAAAGCAGTTAGTTCAACTCACTATTCAAAGCATTGCAGAGTCTAATCGCAAGAAAATAAGTGTTCTCCAAGCAATGAATATGATTTCGTCTCATGATCTGGTCACAAAGACAACAATAAAGAACTGTTTTATAAAAGCCCGATTTGCCCATCAAGCATCCGATGATAATGGGGGTGATGGTGTCAGCGATAATGATACAATAATCAATTATGATGATTGAAATTTGCTCTCAACAGAGACAACTTTTGATGAATACATGGATTGCGATGAGAATGTAGTTACGTTAGCGATTTACACTATTGATGAGCTTATTCAGAACACACAGTCTGAACATAGTGACAGCGAGGATCACGAGAAATGCCAAGAAGTTGTTACGCCATCTTTTCAAGATGCAATGATTTCCATTCAGACATTAAGAACTTATTTTCTTTACCACAATACCGGTGAAAAAACTTTTCATGACCTTGATTCATTGCACAAGTCATTAATTACAGCTCAACGTCAATCATCACCTCAAACAAACGTATATAATTTTTTCTGTAAACTTTACGTTAAATGATTAAAGCGAAAAGAAAAAAAAATTGGAGTATCTAAACAAATAAATTTAACGTACATTCAAATTGCTTACTGTAACTTTTCTCTTTTTTTTATGGTTAGCTTGTTTAATTTAGAAATTAATGTAAATCAACACATTAAAATTAACTGAAAACAGAGTCAGTTTCTAGTTTTGGAAGTTAAAATCGATTATACAACGATGCGCCACTGTATTCCTATAATTGATAATTTAAAAGCATTTTGTAAGAATAGGGAAATATTAAAATTTATTTTAATGCCTTATAAAACTCAAAATTCTCTTCTTTGTGGTATTCAAGATGGCAAAATAATTTTTTTAAAGAATATCCAAATAAATTTGTACCTAGATGATTTTCTCGTAACTAGTAATCCTTTAAGGCAGTGTTTCCCAACGTGGGGCCCACGCCCCACCAGGGGGCAATTTGATTGTTAAGGGGGGCAATTTAAAAATGGACTTGACATGAGTTTAAACCTTTTGCTCTGAGCCATTCAAATGCAATGCGAGATTTCGGTGACAAAATTGAAAGAAAAAAGCAAATTCTTAAATAATTGCGGCCAATAAATATTATGTGACGTAGAGATTTTTTAAGCGACAATCCTGAAATGAAGTACAGTGGCAGTCAAAAGTATTCGTACAATGAATTTTGAAGTGCTCATCACTTCATAGTATTTTATTAATTATACTACGTCATTAAACACAGATACCAGGCCTTGTATCCTTTATTTTTGAGCAATTTAATCAAAAGAAGTTTTCTTGTAAAACAATTACAGAAAAAAAATTATAAAAAATAGAAATTAATTATCAAAACTTTTGTGTCAAAAGTATTCGTACACTTAAGAAATTTCCCTAAAATTATATAGTATATCACAGTTTAATACTTAGAAGGATACCCTTTCGCCTTAATTATTGCTTTCATTCTACTTGGCATTGAATCTACCAGCTTCTTTGTAATATCTGGTGTAATTGATGCCCATTCTTCCAATATGGCGGTTTTCAGCTGATTTTTATTTTTTACTCCTCGATTTTTGATTTTGTCGTCTAAAATACTCCACAAATGCTCAATAGGATTCATGTCTGGTGATTGTGGAGGTGTGTTGAGTCTTTCGGGAGTGTTATATAATACCCAGAGCTTAGCATTATAAGCTGTATGCTTAGGGTCGTTGTCTTGTTGAAATATATAGTTAGTTTGAAGACCCATTTGTGAAGCGCTAGAATTTAAATTACTTTTTAGAATGTCAATGTACTTTTTGTGATCCATAATCCCATCAATGATGTGCAATTTACCCACTCCATGTGCGCTCATACATCCCCAAACTAGAATGTTACCACCGCCATGCTTTACTGTCGCACTCAAATTTTTTGGTTGTAGCTCTGTATTCTTTTTACGCCACACAATTTGTCTGCCATCAGATCCAAACACGTTAAACTTGCTCTCATCCGAGAATATAACCCTGTTCCAGAAATCAGGATTTTTATTAACATGCTGTTTGGCGAAAGACATTCGTTTCTTTCTATTAACTTCCGACACAAAAAACTTTTTTCGAGATACTCGACCATGGAATCCTGATTCGTTAAAAGTGCGGCGTATAGTACTTACCGAGATCGAAATTCCCTGTTTGAGGACTTTTACTGCCGGGGCACTCAATTTTGGATTTTTCTTAATCAATCTTACGAGTAAGCGTCTGTGCTTAATGCTGAGAATTTTTGGGCGTCCACTTCGTGGAATATTTTCAACAGTATTGCGTTGGCAATGTCGATCTATAACACTCTGCACTGTAGGTCTTCCAATAGCAAGTGATATCTTTCTTAAAGAGTTACAGTTATTATGTAGTTTCATTATCAGTTTTCTTTCAGCGAGAGAAGTTCCCTTCCGAGCCATCTCAATTTAAAGCTGTATGATTGACAACAAAAAATGCGAGTTTCAAAGCTAGTAAACATAAGAATGAAACAGATAAAGCGGTAAAAGTAAGAATAATATAAAATCTCGCCAAATATATTCCCACAAACGATATTTGGCGCACAAATTGTCTTAATTTTATTATTTTACAACTTGAAATGTGGATGTACGAATACTTTTGAAGCACGAGGTTTAGTGGTGAGATTCAAATTCTCACTCTATCGAGGAGCTCTTTATGACCAAATTTAAAAATTTCCTCTTAAAAATTCAAATCATTCATGCAACAACTTGAAAAACATTAAGATTTTTTGAAAATTTCAATTTATTTTTACGCAATTTCAATTTTTATTCACTTTTGAAGTTAGTAATTTAAGTGTACGAATACTTTTGACTGCCACTGTATCTGTTAACAGTCGGTGGTAAAGCATTTGCGAGTTATTTAGCCGATATCTTTGAAAAACTAAATATATTAAATAAGCAACTTCAAGGAACAAATAAAATTCTTGTTGATGCAAATGCGAAGATATTTGGCCTCTTTACCCTTATTGAGTTATGTCAGAAATATATTAACAACAAACGCTTTGAACAGATTCATTGACTCCAAAATGTAGTAATGATACCGCTTTATTTGTTATTGTCGATCATCTGAAAATTCTATCAGCTGATTTAAAAGAAAGATTTTCTGATTTGAAACAAATAGATTTTCCAGCATGGATGATGCAGTCCATGTTAGTGGATTTGTCTGATATATCAAATATGCAGTATCAAGGAGAACTCGCAGAAATGCAAAATGATGAGTCAGTTAAAACTTTATTTAATATAAAAGGAGTGATGGTATGGATTCATGAGGAAACAGAAAACAAATACCCAAATTCAACCAAATGTGCAAGAAAACTATTGTAACCGTTTCCATCTTCATATTTAGCTGAATGAGGATTTAGTTCTGCAAATGATTTACTGGTAATAAAAAAGAAATCGCCTGGATGTAATACAACGGGGAGACTTGAGACTGAAGCTAACTAAATTGGAGCATAAAATCTCTGTGTAGCTCATCCAGCGCTAGGATCTCAATAAATTAAAATATTAAATTACTATAGAAAAATCTTTATTAAAATTATTTCGAATTTGAAATTCAGTTTTTCATTATATGTTTTGAAAATTTACTTACTTTGTTTCGTTAACAATTTCCTAAGTTTCTTAAGTGAACAATTCGATTTTTTAATATTAAAAATTATGTATATGTTACATAGGGGGGCATAAGAATTTTAGAAAGGCTTAGGTGGGGCATGGTACAAAAAAGGTTGGGAAACACTGCTTTAAGGGGTAATCAAGCTAGACGCAAGTTAACTGCATTTTATTACACTATAGCCAATTTGCCACTTACTTTTAGATCAACTGTTTGCGATATGCAATTAGCTATCATTTGTAAAAAGATCAGATATTAAGAAGTTTGGATTCAGACCCATTTTGACACCTCTTTTAACTGATTTAAAACTCTTAGAGGACACAGGTATAAATATTGATGGAATATCAGGAAAGGTAAGGGGTTCTTTAGTGTCAATTGTTGGAGATAATTTGGCATTGCATGAAATAGGGGCTTATACAATTAATTTCTCTAGCAGTACAGGTCGTTTATGTAGATTTTGTATGGTCACATATAATGCTATGGAAAGTAATTCAAAGGAAAAGTATTTTACACGACGTACAAAGCAAACTCTTGAAAGCAAAATTAACATCATAAATGTAGATAATAGTTACATAAATTTGTATGGACTAAAATTTAACTCTCCTATAAATGATATAAGATATTTTCATACTAGTACTATGCTTCCGCCTGATGCTATGCACGATCTGCTTGAGGGTATTGTTCCATTAGAATTTGCTCTAATAATTAATAGTTTAATTAAAAGTAAATTTATTAGTCTTTCTTTATTAAATAGAAGGATTCGATCATTGAAGTTTGGTTTTAATGATAAACCTAATAGACCATACGAATAAAATTTAAACTTTGCAAAAGGAATTCTTCCCGTATGTGGTCCCTTCTTAGATTCTTACCACTAATGATAGGTATCTTTGTTCCGGGAAATGAAATAGTTTCTTTAAATAATTTTTTAAACATAAGTTAAAACCTAAACACCATTTTTTAGTGCACTACCCACGGCTTATTTTAGAATTCAGCCATCTTGTACATTTACGGTCTATGAGATTTGAAGCAAAGCATTTTAAACGTGTTGCCCAGGCTTCTAAAAATACCAAAAATTTATCTCTTACATTAGCACAAACGCACCAATAGCTACAACGCTTTTATAATAGTCAAGAAAGGGTCTTAGGAAAAAATATTGATATAACCAATGCAAAACCTATTGATAAAAATATTTATTCTGCCAAAATCACCAGCATTTTAGTAGGCTATGAACAGTTTTTCTAAACTTCAAAAGTACTAGTATCAGGAATAGCTTATAAACATGGAATGTGTGCAGTTTTAAGTTTTGAAAATGAAGAACCTGTATTTGGAAAAATTATTATTTTGTGCAAAGGCTCCAAAGTTTTATTTGTGTGCAATCTCTATAACTCTTGTTTTGTTTTTCACATAAGAGGTTATCAACTAAAAAATATGTAATGTAATTAAAATAATAGCGCCAGAAAATCTTTCAGATTATTATCCTCTGTCAGAATATAAATATGGGAATGACAGTGTTGTCATTCTCCAAACATCTTTTATTTGATCATTAATACATTTTTAAATCTGAATCATAAAATTCCTTAGTTTCAGGAATATAGTTAGAATCTGATACTGCTTAGCTGAAAAAGCCTTTTGACTGAGTTTCTTTTATGCTGTTACGGTCTATATCCTCAACTTAAAAAAAACATCTGTATTTTTCTTATTTACAGATTTCTAGTTTAATAAATTTTTCTTCAAGTTGTGCATTTTACTATATCTATCATAATCAGTAAATAAAATCTTTCCAACTGAGTGAACATTTGTCCAGTCTAGGAATCAAATCTGGGACCTTGGTTTATTTCAGAAACCAAGCTCTAACAACTTAACAAAAACAATGATTTTTCTTAAATATTCACCACTATTTATTAATTTGTAAAGAAATGACAGTAATTTTTTCCCAACTGGGTAAACAGTGTTGCCAGATTGGGCTACAAGTAGCGGATTGGGCTACTTTTAAAACTCCCCGCTACACAAAATCGAATTTGGGCTACCCGCTACTTTTTGGGCTACTCATTATTTTTCAAAAGCTACAAATTGTTAAAAACGCGCTACCTAGAGAATTTCATGCTACTTATCTCACAGAAATACTTTTATAAGAAAAAGTTTTCCTTTCCTATTATAAAATGAGAGATTCATTAAAGTCTGCAGTTTCTTTATCTTTTTTAAAAATATTTTCTTTTATTTCTGAAAACGCATCAGCTTTAGTTTCGGATTCTTGTTATGTTTTGCCGCGCTGAGTCCAGAATCTTTCCATATCTATGCTTCAAATCATAGACTCGTGAAAACGCAAAGATATATATGGAAAAATGCACGGCTAGTATGATGGGGGAAAAAACTTTAACTCCAACCATTATTAATCGCTTATCATCTGGAAAAATTGCGTGACCTGTAATCTGAGCTAAGGCGAAATATTGAATTTGGCGAAATTATGAACGCAGCTCATTGAAATTTAAGTCCCTCAGTGGACTGATCGTTAAGACGATCAGTCCACTGAATCATTCTCATTGAAGTCAACATATCATTGAACTGTCCCATTGAAGTCAAACATCACAGGCTGAGCCGCGATGGCTCAGGGGAGAGAGTGTTCGCCTTCCAAGGAGGGGAACCGGGGTTCGATCCCGGCGATGGCTGGTCGATACGAATTCCGCATCCCGCTTGCACCGACCACAGAGCTGACGTGAAATATCCTCAGTGGTAGACGGATCATGGGTTTGAGTCCCCTTGCCGTGAGGCTAACCGTGAGAGTTCTCGTGGTCTTCCTCTCCATACGACGCAAATGCCGGTTAGATCCATTAAAAAGTCCTCCAAGAAGGCAAAATTTCTCCCACTACTTGATCCAGGAGTTCCCTTGTCTTCTGGATTGGATTCAAAATTACAAGGCTACGGAGTTGAACATTAGCAGTCGTAAACCAAAAAATTTGGGTCGGCTGTTCAACGACGGTTATAAAAAAAAAATAAAACATCACTGGCTGCTGTCAGTGTGCGGGTGGGTGACCACGTGGATCAGTCTGCGTAGGGACCGAGGTCGTGCGGTATGGGTCCTCGTTAAACTGTTCTACCGTAAAGTGCTCGACTTTGCGTGCAGGTCGTNATTGCCAATTTAGCTATCATTTAGCTATCATTTGTAAGGATTCAGACCCATTTTGACACCTCTTTTGAAGGATTTAAAACTTTTAGAAGACACAGGTATAAATATTGCTGGCATATCAGGAAAGGTAAGAGGTTCTTTAGTGTCAATTGTTGGAGATAATTTGGCATTGCATGAAATAGGGGGTTATACAACAATTTTTTCTAGCAGTACAGGTCGTTTATGTAGATTTTGTATGGCCACATATAATACCATGGAAAGTAATTTTAAGGAAAAGTATTTTACACGACGTACAAAACAAACTCATGAACGCCAAATTAACCTCATAAATGTAGATAATAGCTACATGAATTTGTATGGATTAAAATTTAACTCTCCTATGAATGATTTAAGATATTTTCATACTAGTACTATGCTTCCACCTGATGCTATGCACGACCTATTTGAGGGTATTGTTCCATTAGAATTAGCTCTAATAATTAGTAGTTTAATTAAAAGTAAATTTATTAGTCTTCCTTTATTAAATAGAAGGATTCGATCATTGAAATTTGGCTTTAATGATAAACCTAATAGACCATATGAATTAAAAGTAAACTTTGCAAAAGGAATTCAAATGCCAGCTTCCCGTATGTGGTTTCTTCTTAGATTCTTACCTTTAATGATAGGTATTTTTGTCCCGGAAAATGAAATTGTTTGGGAATTTCTATTAATTTTGAAAGATATTGTAGATATTATTTTGTCTCCAGTCATAAATACTGATTATGTGTCTTTGTTAAAGGATCTAATTTATGAACATCATACTATGTTTACACAAATATTTAAAGAAACTAAGTTGAAACCTAAACACCATTTTTTAGTGCACTACCCACGACTTATTTTAGAATTCGGCCCTCTTGTACATTTATGGTCTATGAGATTTGAAGCAAAGCATTTTAAACGTGTTGCCCAGGTTTCTAAGAATACCAAAAAATTTACCTCTTACATTAGCACAAAGGCACCAATAGCTACAACGCTTTTATAATAGTCAAGAAAGGGTCTTAGGAAAAAATATTGATACAACCAATGCAAAACCTATTGATAAAAATATTTGTTCTGCCTAAATCACCAGCATTTTAGTAGGCTATAAACAGTTTTTCTAAACTTCAAAAGTACTAGTATCAGGAATAGCTTATAAACATGGAATGTGTGTAGTTTTAAGCTCTGAAAATGAAGAACCTGTATTTGGAAAAATTATTATTATTTTGTGCAAAGGCTCCAAAGTTTTATTTGTGTGTAATCTCTATAATTCTTGTTTTGTTTTTCACATAAGAGGTTATCAACTAAAAAAAATGTAATGTAATTAAAATAATAGCGCCAGAAAATCTTTCAGATTATTATCCTCTGTCAGAATATAAATATGGGAATGACAGTGTTGTCATTCTCCAACCATCTTTTATTTGATCATTAATACATTTTTAAATCTGAATCATAAAATTCTTATCTGAAGTCCTTAGTTTCAGGAATATAGTTAGAATCTGATACTGCTTAGCTGAAAAAGTCTTTTGACTGAGTTTCTTTTCTGCTGTTACGGTCTATACCCTCAACTCAAAAAATATCTGTTTTTTTCTTATTTACAGATTTCTAGGTTAATAAATTTTTCTTCAAGTTGTGCATTTTACTTTATTTATCATAATCAGTAAATAAAATCTTTCCAACTGAGTGAACATTTATCCAGTCTAGGAATCAAATCTGGTTTATTTCAGAAACCAAGCTCTAACAACTTACCAAAAACAATGATTTTTCTTAAATATTCACCACTATTTATTAATTTGTAAAGAAATGACAGTAATTTTTTCCCAACTGGGTAAATATCGTTTTTGAAAAAGTAATTTAGTTAAATTGTAAATTTTAATACGGATGTATCAAGAAATTTTTTACCAATTAAAATATTGAAACTTATTTCTTGATATTCCCAAGTTTCATAATGTAAATAACAAAAAAATTACTTATCTATCATATTTTTTATTTTTCTTATGAATGCTGTAATATGTTTGAAAAGAGTAATCTACATATTTAACTTTAAAGATAATTATTTTGTATGAAAAAATTTCCTCTTGTCTATGTATATAAATATCAAAGTGATTATTCTTGAATAGTGATCTGGATGTGGTCATTTTATCATTATAATTTCCAAGTTATATAGATATTTTTTAACTAAACTCAGTGGCGCGACAGCCCATAGAGGGCCAAGACCTACTGTGCCCATCTTTGTTTTCTTGACCTTGGGTTCTGGGGTGCAGGAGCAGATGTTCCTATTACATACCTGCCAACTTTTAATCCTTTCGAGGATGGAATTCATATTACAATTTCAGGCAGAAACTTATGCTGAATTTTGAGTTAGCTTCTGCAGTCTAACAAAACAGAATTATATATTTATATATATTTTTTATTTTATTTTATAACCGTCGTTGAACAGCCGACCCAATTTCATGGGTTTACGACTACTTACGTTCAACTCCGTAGTCTTGTAATTTTGAACCAATCCAGAAGACTAGGAAACTCCTGGATCAGTACCCCCAGAGGTATTGATTTGTTGTGGGAACATGGAGGACTTTGAGACTCGACAGATTTAACGTGCATCAGTCACCATTTACTACACGGGGAGTCTTCGGCCGGCGAGGATCGAACCCACGACCTCTTGGATATGGGCCCAGCGCCCTACCGACCAGGCTATCCCGGCCCTATATTTATATATAGGAATTTTTTTTAAAATAGTGGTGGGTCAAAAAGATTATACACTCACTCACTCAAAAATACCTAATCATGGTGCAACCTTCCTCCGCTTTTAGCTCCCTTCAAAATACCCATTTTTGGTGCAACCTTCTCTCGTTGTTTGGAGCTAGTGAAAGCACCAATGTTTGGCGCAACATAGCTCGAAATTTTTTACAGTGTAGGGTCACCAAATAAAGATAGAGTAAATGGATAAAAGCTGCCACCAAAACGTTCGATTCACAAGCATTTGAATCGTCTACCTTAGACAAAAATATGTTTCATGGTGAGAACAACTTGGCATAATGAACAAACAAAGTTAGTGAGTAATAAGTTAGCGTGTACTTAAGTGTAAATGTCTAATACTATTTTCTTTTTTGCTTACTGTAAATTAGCGCACTCTTGATAGCTTTTTTTAATGTAAATTGCTTCTAACACAGGAAATAATGGCTGTTCCGGAGGTACTCCAGCTTTAGCCTTACAATTCGTCTTGGAAAATCATGGACTAGTCAGCGAAAAGGCTTATCCATATTGGGCAAAAGTAAGTATATTCTCACAAATGGAGGGTAGAACTTAGAAAATTTATTTTGGAATGAAAACTTGGATTCTGAGTAGTATACCTTGAAGATGATGGCTCCTTAAAACAGCTAGGATTCTGCTTTGAAGGACTTTTGAAACGGGTTTTTATCTTTCTCTCCTTCCAATTAGTTCTAGGGATGGGGAGGAGATAAAAAGTTTTCTCGATTTATTGCTGGTTTGTTCTGCATTTTTGTACTATTTATAAACAGTATTGTTCTATTTTTTTGAGAATACATTTATATCATTCATGTTCATTAAATCTGCTAACATATCTTGAGATAAAATTGCGGTTGGTGAAAGACGCAACCATACTTGTACCTCCTGAATATCACTTTGATTCTTATGTCTTCTATGCGTTTGTTGCTCGCCTTGCAAGTCGTTTCTCTGATATAGCATCCCACACCGCGCAGTTCACCGCATATTGTGTTCATATATATATATATATATATATATATATATTTCTTTTTTTCATTTCCATTTTAAGAAAATTGTAAAAATCGGGGGAATTCAATGTCTTACTTAAAGATTCCCCTTACCCCTCCGGCCTCCTTGTTAGCAAAAATAAGCAATTCACAACCATCGGCTTAGTGCTTACGTAATATTTGAATAGCCCATACAAAGTCGAATAAAAGTCTAGATTGTTTTTCTCTTTTCTCTGATTTGTGAACAGCATAAATAAGCTATAAGTTTCTTTTAAAGGAACTAAACTTCTTACTGTTAGACGACTATTACAACAAATTTCGAAAAGTAACAAGTGTGTGTACAAGTGTGCTTATCACCTTCGGATAGATTATTAGACAGCAATTGGGCTAGCAGAATTGCCATCTCATATTAGGTTTCACATTAATTTATATGNAATGATTATTTTAAATAAGGTAAGATGTAATGTATGTATGTACACTTTGAGGATATTTGTAAACAGCTTTATTTTAAACTAAAAAAATTTTTTTTAATCTAACTTTCTTTAATTCTCTTAAAATTTATTGACTTAAATATTTAATTTATGGCCGATCGTTTTCGTTTGTATTGCCATTTTTATCAAGTCATAATGTGTACTATTTACGTGCTTAGTTACGAACTGCTAATGAATCGGTTAAAAGGTCACCCCGCTTATAAGGTCAATTTTGCGATGTCCCTTAGGGGGACCTTATATCGAGGTCTGACGTATATATATATTATCAAGTCTCAACATCTGGGGCACAGTGCAAAGTAGAGGAAAATTTGTAATTACGAATATTTTTCAAAAATATTAAAAATAAACTATAAGTATACATTTTAAATATATAATTATATATTTTGTAATATATAATTGCAATTGTTTGTAATATATAATTATATGTTTTGTATTTACATCTTATTCAAAATTAAAGGTATTTAAGTTTTATAAAAAACAGCAAAAGAAATCAATAAATATAAACAACAATTTCGGACAGTACCAGATTCATTTATAAATTTTTTTTAAAAATGGACTTTCAAGAAGAATAAAATAATTATCACAGCAAAGCCAAAATGTTAAAACTGGGTAGAATAAGTATTAGTGAAGAAATTATTCCTTTAAAAAAATGTGTGGTCTGCTGCTGTGCCTATTCAGTGATTTGTAACCGGTTTTTAAAGCATAGAAATAATTTTTATTAATATTTAGTAATTATTCATACGTATTTTTTTTTAATGAGCGCAGATCACCTGACCGGCAGAAACTCAACATTCTCGCTTTGAGGATGGGCTGTACTATTCACTATACTACAAGTAGTTTCACACTGTAAAGTCATATAAAGGATAACACACAGATAAAAAAAATTTTAACCTTTAAGTTAAAGAAAAAGAAGAAATAATTTGTAATTCATCAATCAGAACATGTCTCGATGGTGTATCGGATATAGTTATCCCGTCAAAAGCAAAGCCAAATGCGAGATCCCTAAAGCATTATAAAAATATATCTAAACTATACAAACAGATATCACTCATGGGCTGCAATTAGTGGCACAAATAAAAAGAACACGCGTTTTGAACTAAGAACAGGTGTAAATATGAAAATACACATTCTTTCAGCAGTAATATTAGCACAACTCATAATTCAACTTCTAGCTAATCTTCGTTTCAGCAAATTGAAACATTTCTTATGCATTTTCCTTAGCAATGAAAACTTTAAACCCACTTATTTCAAAACTTTATTTTTTGAGTTGTGACGCTATTGCAGCCCATGAGCGATATAATGGTAAATAAATAACCTTCTTTTGATACTGCACAGTTTTCAACTAAAGAGGACGCCATACCACTGAGAAACTTTTCGTCTCAAATTCTCTTTCACTTCCATTATCAATTTAAAATGTAAAAGAAAGAAAAAATAAGTTCTGGCAAACCTAGAGTAAGAAATGAAATTTAAATTGCTGGAAGAAAAAAAATAAAACTGCAAAATGCAAACAAATTATTTGGAAGTGAACTTATTTTTATTTTGATGTTTTAAAAATTTCGTTTCAGTCATGGGTTATTTTAAGTTTGTCTGAACAAACTTTTTCTATACTTTGAATGAGTCATGGAGGTGACAGAGAATCAACAACGAAACATTTCTCCCGTGGTATGACGTCCTCTTAAGAAGTTTTGAGTCATTTTAAATATTTATTATCGACATAAGACTCTCTTAGGTTCTTTAAACTCCTTTCAAGGGTCGAGTTGGAGGAGAAAACCAAATGATGCATCGATTTGGTGAGTCAAGATAGAAATTTTCGAAAGATGTGGCGGGAAAAACTAGCATTCACGAGTCGTCCTCAAAAGTCATCATCTAGTTAATTGACAAGAATTCCCCCAATAGTGGTGTATCGTTCATGAGACTCCGTTCACGGTGTCTAGTCACGGCATTATT